TATCATGATGGATAAGTAACATTTAGGTCTGGGAAAATAAGGAACTTTCAAAAAAGAGCTTGATGCTTTGTTTGGCTGAAGACTCTGCTAGGAGGGAATACCACTGGTGCCACCTAGAGACACATTTATGCTTTAACAATGTCTCATTTTGACCCGGAAAATCAAAGAAAGGTTGGACAAATGGGATTGCATGAAGTTGCAGAGCTCCTGCATGGCAAAGGACATAGCTAGCAAGATCAATAGAAAGCCCACGGATTGGGAGAAGATCTTCACTAGCCATACAATGGACAAGGGTCTCATATCTAAAATATACCTTGAACTCAAAAAATTAAATCCCCCAACAACAAATCGTCAAAGAAACAACTGCCCAATAAATAAGTGGGCTAATGACTTAAAGAGAAACTTCTCTGAAGAAGAAAGAAGGATGGCCAATAGACACATGAAGAAATGCTCAACCTCCCTAGCCATAAAAGAAATGCAAATCAAAACAACATTGAGACACCACCTCACCCCAGTTAGAATGGCTAAAATCAAGAACTCTAATAACAACAGATGCTGGAGGGGATGTGGACAGAAGGGAACCTTACTGCATTGTTGGTGGGAGTGTAAACTTGTTCAACCACTTTGGAAAGTAGTATGGAGGTTCCTCAAAAGGCTCCACATAGAACTCCCCTATGACCCAGCAATCCCACTTTTGGGCATTTACCCAAATGTTTACAAACAAGACCACACTAAAGCTACCAGCACAACTACGTTTATTGCAGCGTTATTTACCATAGCTAAGATCTGGAACCAACCCAGATGCCCCTCAGTAGGTGAATGGATCAAGAAAATGTGGTAAATATACAAAATGGAATTCTATGCCTCTATCAGAAAGAATGACATTGCCCCATTTGTTAGGAAATGGAAAGACTTGGAAAAAATTATATTAAGTGAAGTAAGCCAAGCCCAAAGAAACATAGGTCCCATGATTTCCCTTATTTGCAATATCTAGTATATGTATGAGTCAAGGAGAAAAGGTCAGATAAGGTGATGTTAGGAAAATGAACCCTAAGGTATGTATTTTAAATGTTTTTTTTTTCTTTCATGCATTTGTTTCTAACGCAATTATAAGATTATTTCTTTGTTGCTTTGTATGTCCCTCCCCCCCCCAGTATAACCCCTGCTTTCACTGTAATTGATGTCGGTGTAATTTGTGGAAGGGAAGGGGAAAAACAAGTCGTTTAAATAAGAATACAGGTGGACCTGTTGCAACAATGAGAAGTACAAGTTGTCATGTTGAAAACGAACTTTATAACTTGGGGGGGGAGGTTTTGGTGAGGGGGGAAGGAGGATGGGAAGGGATGGGAGGGTAGACAAAGAAGGAGGCTACAATGCTTGATAAGAAATGTACTCACTATCTTGCCCATGTAATTGTAACCCCTCTGTACAGTATTTTCACAATAAAAAAAATTAAAATTAAAAAATATAAAAAATAAAAATAAAAATAAAAATGTCTAATTTTTACAAATATTTAGTATTTTAGATTCTGGGTAAATCATGAAATATGAGTAATAGGCAAATATGTATCAAATTAGATGTAATAAATGTATATATCCCTATAGTTGTACATAATCTTGCACTTCTAACTTATTCTAATTTCAGGATGCAATAAAGATATTGTGCTGACCCAGACTCCACTTTCCCTGCCTGTCATCCTGGGAGAGCAGGCCTCCATCTCCTACAGGGCTGGTCAGGGCCTCCTAGAGAGTGATGATGCTTATCTGGCATGGTATCTGCAGAAGTTTGGCCAGTCTCCACAACTCCTTATCTATGGAGTTTCCAACTAAGCGTCTAGTATCCCAGTCAGATTCAGTGACAGTGGGTCAGATACAGATTTCACACTGAAAATCAGCAGGGTGAAGCCTGGGGATGTTGGAGTTTATTAGTGCTTTCAAGACACACATTTTCTTCAGGCAGTGATACAGCCTGAACTAAAACCTCCCATCTGACTGGGTGAGTTACATTCATGGGTTACTTGTCTAGGGGCACAGCAGAACTGATTGTCTGAGTGTGCATAGGAGACTTATACAATGGTCAATGTAAGAGAATCTGAGAGTAGAAGCGTATGTGGCTACATACAACTTACAAAGACCAAGAGAATAACCATGGAAAAACAAAGCCAGGAGACTTCAGATAAACCATGGGGTATTAATTGAAAATATTCCCTGTGTCTTAAGTAGCATTATGGCTAACTAGCAATGTAAGAATCAAATGTCTGCTGCAATGTAAGTTCTTTCCCTTTATAATGAAAATTATACTAATTCTATCAAGCACACCATCTTGGCCCATACTTATAGCATATGATTTGCCTTCTATTCAGAATCTGGAAGCCCAGTTATGCATTTTCTAGCTTCTGCCCTATGTGTTTCCCAAGTCTTTCCTGACCATCAAACTATTCGCAGACTTTGGTAATTGTCCTTTGGCTGTATCAACCTGGAACAGTTAGAGTACTGGACTTTGTACAGTGGTCTCTGGCCTTCTGTGTCCTGGTACTCTGGTACTTTAAAAGGGAGAGTCTGGTGAAACCCTGTAATAGTGTTCATAGGTTCCAGGGAGTCTGAGATTGAGCTCTTATTCAATGGGCCTAACATTCACTGCGTTACCTGGTCAGCCTTTGTGATTTTATTTGAAAAACCATGGCATGAGGGAATCATCAATGCATTAGTTTGTCTTTTATCTACTTTGATCACATTAAATAATGTCAAAAAATTTTCTTGTAATGAGCCTTTCAGAAGCTTGGAACTATGATACTGCACAGCCAAGGACTCGGGGATTGTCTGGTCTCCACCATGGTCCAGTGTGCATCTGCCTCCGGTGGTGTAAACTGTTTTACCGTGATGCTCTCAAAGCCATCTCTGAAACTAAAGGATGAAGTTGGAGATACTATGATGCCACTAAGATAACATTCATAGGAGAAATACGATCTGCATTGTGTGTGAACTAATGGAATACTTCATGTAACTTATGGAAATTTCTAACAAATTGTATCCACAATTGTGTCATTCTGCACAAGATTAGTATTACAGGTAGAGAGATTGTTTTTACTCCTCAGTTAGCCCATTTTAGATTGTTTCTATTTGAACCATCACACACACGCTCTTTCTCTCTCTCTCTCTCTTACACACACACACACACACACACACACACACACCAGTATCAGTTCTTTTCTTTTCTTTTCTCTTCTTTTCTTTCCTTTTTGCCAGTCCTGGGACTGATTTCAGTGCCTGGGCACTGTCCTGAGCTTCTTTGCTCAAGGATAGTGCTCTACCACTTGAGCCGCAACACCACTTGTGGATTTTTTCCCCCTGTGGAAATGGTACTGAGAAATTGAACCCAGAGCTTCATGCATGCTAGGCAAACATTCTACACTAAGCCACATTTCCAGCCTTTTCTATAACAAAGCTAAGCTCTGAATAAAAAAGAATTTAAAATGCAGAAAGCCCTAGATGTAATATTCTCATCAGTGTTCTCATCAGGTGATGGCTGTCATGTCTGTGGGAAAATATGGTGTGTCTATAAAAAGAGAACCCGCTGCAAGTTGAAGTGGTCAAGCATATGATTGTCTACCTTCTATCACAAACAACTACTGTTTCAACCTACTCTCACTTCAGGAGAGTAACTTTAATCCTCCAGAGTTCAGGAACTCCCTTGATTTAATCACTTCCTACAAGACACCTTTTCCAATGGCCAAGTGGGGACCATTGGAACATCAGTACAAGCCTCCTTCTCCAGATGCTCCCTCTTCCCAGGTGATGTGCTGCCTCAGATAGGCCCAGCATCTTTGGAGACAAGGAGAAGATAATCAAAACTCTGAGATAATTATGCAAATATTGGTTAAATTAGATTGAAACTAGAGACATTTAGATGTAAAATACTAATTTAAGTTAATCATAAATTATATGTGTATGATTATGCATCAGAAGTTACACAAAGGGGTTTTACCTCAGCATGTCAGTGTTTGAGTACAATGCATCTTGATCAATTTCACCCTTCCATTACTTTCTAGAGGGAACATTCAATAAACCTATTAATTAATGGTGCTGTACAAATATTGTGCAGGACAATGAAAGGATATTTAGTGGATTTAAAATATTAAAAAATTTAAAAAATTAAATTTGAAAATTTAATATATATATATATATTCCCATTCTCTGATATAAATATTCTACCATTTTACTTTTCCCTTATAAATTCCACTATCTGTATTATTAGTTCACTATATATAAGGGAAAATCGTGTTCTCCTTGACATTTCTTTACTCTAAGTTTTAATAGGAAGTTCTTTGGAAACAGAATTTCTAACGATTGTAGATATTATCCTTGCCTCTTCTTATCCCTCAACTCTGTGCTCATATTGGTCAATTCCCTGAGCATCAGAGCTGCTGATAGTGTGCACTATGTCTTTCTCTACACTAGCTGAGGGAAGTCAGGAGAGCCAGGCCCAGTGTCCTTTCTTTCCAAAAGACTGTCCTGGACTTAAACATATATATAGTATGGTGGTAGGAACTTGTGCACTCTCTGGAGCCTGCAGCTCCAGACTTTCACAATGGGGTCCCTCTTAGTACCACAGGTATCATGGATTTTTATTGATTATCATCCAACACAGAACACACTTGACACTTTTCTTAGAAGAGCAGGCTTTACCTTCCCTTTTTCTTTTTTTTTAATTTTAATTTTTTGTGAAGATACTGTACAGAGGGGTTACAATTACATGGGCAAGATAATGAGTACATTTCTTATCAAGCATTGCAGCCTCCTCCTTTGTTTACCCTTCACATCCCTTCCCAGCCTCCCCCGCCCCCCCACCCAATCCCCCCCGCACCGCACCAAAGTTGTAAAGTTCGTTTTCGACATGATAACTTGTACTTCTCATTACCTTCCTTTTTTCTTTTCTCACACTGCTGCACCCACCTGGTTATTTGCATATTGCTCTCTAAAGAGGACCTTCCTTTCTAAATCTGAGATAAAGGCTGAGCTCTGAACTTGCCTTGACCTGTCAAGACTCCTTATTTTACTCCAAAAATGAAGTCCTTGTCTCAGCTCCTGTGGCTGTTAATGCTCTGGATCCCTGGTAAGGACAAAGGGAGATGAGGAATGAGAGAGGGCAGAAGGGAGAGCTCTCAGGGCCCAGTTGTGCCTTATCTGTGTGTTAGATGTTCATGATAGGACAAATAATGTTTAGGTCTGAGAGAGTGAGAAACATTCCAGAATGAGTACCTGTGCTTGGGTAAAGACTCTGCTAGGAAGGAATACTGTCATTGACTTCTACAGACACTTTTGTGCTTCAAAAATATAACTTTTATTATTTAGCATTTTGAGTTTATAAATCAAATCATGACTATGAATAAGAAGCAATATTTACCTAAATAATAGTAATAAACACATGGTTCTCTATGATTATATATAACCTTGCACTTCTGTCTTATTATAATTTCAGGTTCCAGTGGAGATGTTGTGATGACCCAGACCCCGAGTTCCCTACCTGTCACCCTGGGGCAGCTGGCTTCCATCTCCTGCAGGTCTAGTCAGAGTCTCCTGCATAGTAATGGAAACACCTATTTGGACTGGTATCTGCAGAAGCCTGGCCAGTCTCCACAACCTCTGATCTATTTGGTTTCCAAACGAGCATCTGGGGTCCCAGACAGATTCAGTGGCAGTGGGTCAGGCACAGATTTCACACTGACAATCAGCAGGGTGGAAGCAGAGGATGCTGGAGTTTATTACTGTTTTCAAAGTACACATGTTCCTCCCACAGTGATACAGCCTTGAACAAAAACCTACCATCTGGCTGGGTGAGCTGCCCTCATGGCTGGCTGGTCTGGGGAGCAGCCCAGCAGATTGTGTGAGTCTGCCTAAGAGGAAGATATTGAGGTCAATATAAGAGTGACTCTGAGTAGAGGTGAAGAGTTTATGACAATACAACAAAATGCAATCTATAATGACCAGGAGAACAATTATCTGAATATAAAGACCAGGAGACTTCAGATAAACCATAAGGAATTTTTGAAAAATTTCTCTCTTTAGTAGTATTAGAACCAACCAATGATCTATGAATCGAATGACTTCTTTGATTTTATTCCCTTTGTAATGAAACATAATACTTCTTCAAGCACATCCAAGCCTACAACTTTAGCCTATCCTGTGCTTTCTGTTCAGAAGAAGCCCAGTTGTACCTTATCTAGCTTCTGCTCTGTGTGTTCATCAAACCCTGCCTAACCATCAAACCATTACCAGAGTTTTATCATTGACTCTTGGTTGGATCAACCTGAGAAAGTTACAAAATTGCACATAGCCAGTGGTCTCTGCATTCTGTGTCCTGGGGCTCTGGATCTAATTAAGAGAGTGGATTGGGGTCAAGCCTAGGAATATGCTTCATATGTCCCAGAAGTCTGAGACTGAGCCCTTGTTCAATGGGCACAGCATTCACAGTCCAACCTGTTCAACCTCCATGACTTCATATGAAAACCATGTCAAGAGTGAATCTTTCATATTTAAATGTGTCTGTTATCCACTTCCATCACTTTCAACATTTATCATTTCCTTGTAATGGGCCTTTCAAAGGCCTGGAACTATGACATTGCACAGGCTGGGACTTGGGGGATACCCTGACCTCCACCAGTGCCCAGTGTGCATCTACCTCAGATTGTGTAAACTGTTTCTGCATGATGCTCTCAAAGCCATTTGGAAAAAAATAGTAGCATGACGTTGGAAATGCTCTGAGCTCATCAGGGTATTACTCATAGGAAAAAATATAGATCTGGAATGTATATTAACAAATGGAATAGGCTTAAGTCACTCTTTGGAACGTCTTAACAGGAATAGTTAATGCCAAGTTTATCCACAACTGTAATATTCTGTAGAAGAGTAGTCAGAACAAAATCTCAGCTCACACCTTTGTCCAGGCATTTTACCAGGGCACTCAATGTCACCTCTCTGATTTTCAATTCTCACTAGGCTCCTCATTGTATAAGTCTGTATGAGTCACCAGAAAAGAAAAATAAATTATCACTGTGCTTCTAGCAGAATGCTGATGCTGTGTAATTGACAAGTCAGTTGTGATCACTAGTTCCTTTCTAAGAATTTTACCAATTGAGTTCTGAGTCTGGAGCTCACTTTGAGGAGTTTCCTGATGTTGAATCTAAGATCACAGCAACAAAAATTCATCATTGTACCTCCAGCACAGTGCTGATGTACAGTGATTGACATTAGCTGTCGTTACTACTTTCCATCTAAGAATTTTGCTGATTGAGTGATAGGTCTGGAACTCATTTGGAGGTATTTTCAAATACTATTATTGATTCTAAAATCATAGCAAAAAATTTCATTGTAATATGCTGATGAAAATGACAAATTACATTAAATATTTCCAGTCTACATTTGACATTTCTAGAAAACTTTTCTAGAAAACATGTATACGGGCAAATACACATATTGAAAATAACTGCGTAACAGTCATGTAGTTAAATATATACTTGGTTGCTCATTTTTTCTTCAGAAACCAGAATATTCCCATCATCTCTAAGCACTTGTTACAAAGGCAACAGTGCATACAACTCTGTCCAAGGAATGATGCTCTGTGTTTTATCAAGGAAACTAGTGTCCAGGGAATGTTTTAGAATGCATAATTTAGGAAAATTTTACTTCAGCAAATGCAATCCTTTAAGGAAAGTCATAGGCAACCCATCAACATTTTTCTTAATTAACAATCATTTTTGTTCATGGATGCTGAAGGGCAAATTCATAATTATTTCTGAATTGAATCATCCAATTCAAATGACTATTAAGAGATACGAATCGCTCCACGAGAGCAGCTTTATCCTTTTAAAAGGCAGCACCTCCAAAAATCTAAGTAGTTCTAACAGAGCACTGACATTTCAAATCCCACATCTGTTAGCATAGATACACAGGGGTCCACTGGCAAAAAATTCTTAGTACTCAGGCCTTGTGGAAAAGCAAAATCTAAATGTTAGAAAATCCTATCCTTACATTTGTTTTAACATAAAAAGATATTGAAAAGATTGTGAAGTTATTGTCCTCTAAGAAAGAATAATATAATTAAAATGTGGTTTAATTAAAACGTGGTTTAAAAAGTATTTGCTTCTACAGCTTGGTCACTGGGTTGGACTTTCTCTAGGTACTTTCTGGAGATACTTTCTCTCTGTTTACTTCACATTCCTAAACTAGCTGTCTTGTGGTCCTATCTCCATTCTACTTGATTTCTTCTTCCTTCTGAGTCTCTGGGAATTCTCCATATAAGGTTGATCAAGGTAAATCTTACTTTTTTTGGTTTCCAACTAAGAGATCTGTGGCTTTTGTTACTGAAGTGTTTTGAAAATAGTTGCTTCATATATTTGGGGCATGTTTTAGTTAATCCATCAGCAGTATAAATAAAATGCATTTATACTAATCTTTTTGAGTCCTAAGTTGGTTTTCTGGAAGCTATTGTCTAAATTCCAAACTTTCACATTTCTTTGTTCTAGAGTAACAAGCCATAACGTTTGGTGAAAGTCAGGAGGTCCCTGATGTTCCTGCATTTCTTGCTTGTTCACACTAGTACAACCTATCAGAACACGTATATCATATCCATTCTGCCTCCTGGCAGCAGCACAGCTGGTCATATATTGAAAATGGAGAATGAGCGTTTTCTATATAGCTACTCCCAAGAGGATGGACCTGAGGAAGAATGAGAAATAGTGCAAAAAGTTGAGTATTAGAACTTTGATTCTAAGTATTCTCTTTTTATTTTTGTAATATTTTGCAAGAATGAGAATCTTGTTTCTAATTATATTTGCTGAATTTCAATATCTGACTAATTCCTTTTAATACTAATTTCCTACTGTTCTTGCCACCCATAGTCCTCTTGAAGACAATTTATTTCACCTGTCTCTACAACTGTGTTATCCCTGATGCCTATTTGCAGCCCCTAATGATCTTTGTCCTCTGCTGCATGCCTTTGTCCTACTCCTGTGTTCTGTACTGATCTTAGTACTGGCTAATTCTTTTCAGCCTGGACTTTGTGTGTGTGTGTGTGTGTGTGTGTGTGTGTGTGTGTGTGTGTGTGTGTATTGAAGTTGTCCCCCACTTTGTTCAACTCTGTGGGTACAACCTCAACTCATGTCAAACATGTGATCATGTGGAAATTGTCCAATCTGTAATGATGGTGGAGACGTAAGATTGAAGTCTAATGTCTGGGGACCAAAGCATGAAACCCCTGTGGTTGGGTGTCAAAGTGGTCCTGGTTGAAGTACTGTTGTGACATTTTGTATTATCAGTGAAAAATCTGTCAGATGGTGATTACTTCCATCTGGCTATCAATACTGGCTTTCATTTCTACCCATAGATGAAAGTGTTGTTTTCAAGTTATCCTCTATCTTTGTTTTTTTTTAAATGAATACAAAGTATCTTTTGATTCTTTCTAAATATCCTCTTACTAATCAGAACATGAATTAATGATATATATAGTTTCTTTAGGGGGTTATAATATCCATCATAACTCATTTTCATAGTCAAAATTCCTCAAATTTGTTTATTGGAGGATATAACCATGCTGCATTCTAACACTTCCCACATTTGTCTCAACATGCCAAGCCATTTCCTTAAATTTTGGCAGCAGATGAGCCAGGCTTATTGAATAATTTCCCTGTCTTACACCTAAAACGAGCCATTTCTCCAATAAATACTTACTTATTCTTTTAGAGATCAGTATATTAGAAAGTAGAATGAGGAGAATGGTTTCTCTCATATGTGGCAGCTATAATTAGCCTATAGACTTATAAGTAAAAGTATGTAACTGATTGCATTAAATATAGTACTTTAAAAAATTTTTATTGTGAAAATACTATACAGAGGGTTTACAATTACTTGGGCAAGGTGATGAGTACATTTCTTATCAAGTATTGTTGCCTCCTCCTTTGTTTCCCCTTCCCATCCCTTCCACTTCCCTTACATCACCACCTCCCTCCATGGACCCATTGCAACAATGAGATGTACAAGATGTTATGTCAAAAATATAGTACTTTTAAAGGAGAATTCAAATAGTGTAATTCCTTAGAAAGGCAAAGACAAAGCCTAGCAAACTAACCACTAGAAAATTGGTACTTGCAAGAGCTATAGTAGAGCCAAGGGGAGATGAATTAAAGATGAGAACGAGGCAAGGGGGGAAATGCAAACAAGAACTTTAAATTATAGACCACAAAATGAAGAAAGTAAGTGTCAGCATGGGTAAGGGGATAGGGGAAACATTGAAAGGGGTGACATTGACCAAGATACATGATATTCATAAATGCCTTTGTTAAATGGCAACTCTTTGTACAACTACCGAAAGTCATTTAGAAAACAAGTTGTGGCACTAAAATTTTCACTCTCTCTATGTTAGGAAGCAGTAGCCTCTGTGTATTTATCTACACAATCGACTGATCTATGATGTATTTTTACACTTTCATTGTATCAATATACATTTAATTCATATTTCTATAAAACAAAGAAATTGTACTTGAGGTTTTAATTACAACCCCAAATCAGAGTTTATTCCAATATTCTCCATTTTTATTTCTGTAATACTTTTGCAACAGTGAAAATTTTTTTTCTAATTATATTTGCTGAATTTCGATATCTGATTAATTCTTTTTAATACTAATTTCCTACTGTATGTGTCACCTATACTCCTCTTGAAGACAATTTACTTCACATGGCTCTACAATTATGTTAGCCCTGATAGCCCTTTCCTGCCCACAATGATCTTTGTTCCTTTGTGTGTACCTTTGTCCTACTAGTGTGTTCTGTACCAATATTAGTTCTGGCTAATCCTTGTCAACCTGAACTTTGTGTGTATGCTTCTCTGTGTGTGTGTGTGTGTATGTGTGTGTGTGTGTGTGTGTGTGTGTGTGTGTGTGTGCACTGAAGTTGTTCCCAATTTTGTACAATTCTGTGGGGACAACCTTAACACATTGCACTCTAACTTAAACAGCCTGAGATCTTCTTTCACTTATCATAATGTGGATATGCTTTCCATATTTTGGACCTCAAAACTGTGCGCAACATTCCACCTTACCCTTTTGCTTGATTCCTTGGATTACTTTCAGAACCTGGTTGGCTCCCAGGCTCTAAACAAAATGATTAAATATTGCTTTCTGTTTTGAACAAAATTTAAAAATATAAGTGATATAAGAACATGCAGGTTTTCTTGGAACAATTGGATTAAAGGATACAATTAAATTTATGATGTAGAGAACATCTCATCCTTGACTTATGTATAATCTTTGAGTAAAGATAAGTAGGATGCATGAACAGACATCCATGCATACAAGAGATAAATAACATAAAAGTACCAAATGACAGAGCTAAAAAGAACCAGAGGATCTGCAGAGGTAGGAAGAAAATGGTTTGTGATGTTGGATATTCTAGAAGGAGATGATAGGAAAGAGTGTTCAGAAGTGGAAGGCATGCCACGGATTGGGAGAAGTTCTTTACTAGCCATACAACGGACAAGGGTCTCATATCTAAAACATACTTGGAACTCAAAAAATTAAACCCCCCAACAACGAATTCTCAAAGAAACAACTGCCCAATAAATAAGTGGGCGAAAGACTTAAAGAGAAACTTCTCTGAAGAAGAAAGAAGGATGGCCAATAGAAACATGAAGAAATGTTCAACATCCCTAGCCATAAAAGAAATGCAAATCAAAACAACATTGAGATATCACCTCACTCCAGTTAGAATGGCAAAAATCAAGAACTCTAACAACAACAGATGCTGGAGGGGATGTGGACAGAAAGGAACCTTACTTCATTGTTGGTGGGAATGTAAACTTGTTCAACCACTTTGGAAAGTAGTATGGAGGTTCTTCAAAAGACTCCACATAGAGCTCCTCTATGACCCAGCAATCCCACTTTTGGGCATTTACCCAAATGATCACAAACAAGACCATACTAAAGCTACCAGCACAATTATGTTTATTGCAGCATTATTTACCATAGCTAAGATATGGAACCAACCCACATGCCCCTCAGTAGATGAATGGATCAAGAAAATGTGGTATAAATACACAATGAAATTCTATGCCTCCATCAGAAAGAATGGCATTGCCCCATTTGTTAGGAAATGGAAAGACTTGGAAAAATTATATTAAGTGAAGTAAGCCAGGCCCAAAGAAACATAGGCCCCATGGTTTCCCTTATTGTCAATAACTAGTATATGTCTGAGACAAGCAGAAAAAGTCAGATAAGTTGATTTTAGGTGAAATGAAACCCAAGATAAGTATTCAAATGATTTTTTTCATGCGATTGTTTCTAGCATATTTATAAGATTATTTGTTGCTTTGTATGTCCCTCCTCCATGGTATAACCCCTGCTTTCAGTGTATTTGATGTTGGTATAATTTGTGGAGGAGAAGGGAAAAAACAAATCGTTTAACTAGGGATACAGGTGGACCCATTGCAACAATGAGACATACAAGTCTTTATGTTGAAAATGAACCTTACAACTTTGGTGGAGGAGGAGGAGGATTTGGTGGGGGAGGAGGATGGGAATGGATGGAAGGGAAGCAAAGGAGGAGGCTACAATGCTTGATAAGAAATGTACTCATTATCTTGCCCATGTTAGTGTAACCCCTCTGTATGGTATTTTCACACACACACACACACACACACACACACACACACACACACACACACACACACACACAAAAGAAGTGGAGGGCAGCAACCACACATCTCTAGATGACAAGTACCAATGACAATGTTTGGGCTCCTCTATATAGATCATGACACTGTGTTTCGTATAATTATCATTTTCTCTATTTTACACTTCTATATATAGGGACATGTCTATGACTATCTATTTATGAATTATCTATTTATGTCTATGTACCAGTCTATTTATCTGACTGTCTATGCATCTTTCTGAAGCATGTCTGTTTGTCTATCTATCAGCTTAGATCTCATTTGCCACTTACTGCTTGTGATAATGATTTATTTCACTCAGAGCAAAAGACATTGAGAAAGAAAAGGGAATCTCTTTGGTCTCAGCAATAGTCACAGTTCTCAAATTCAGCAGAACTACTTAAATTTCTTAACATTTTCCTCATGTGATTCCATAATAAGATATCTGAGATTTAAAAAAAAAAAAGTTACCAAGTAAAGGATGCCAGGACGCATGAATTGAGCAGAAGACACTACCCACAGGATGCTAGAGTGATTCTGTCCTGTGGTTCTCAGGACAAAACAAGTTCTTTTAGGCAAATCTGTTTAATTCTGGCATGATCCAGATAGTCTGAGGACTCAGAACTCTTCTGGGCGGTATAGAGATAAGATAGCCCTTTCTTTGCCCACTCCTGTCTAGCTCCTGCTGATTTTTATGCGTCCAGAACACAGTCCTTTGTCTTAAGAATTTCTGAAAAAGCTGCTTCCCTGTGCAACAATCATTTTCAGTCACAACACATCATGGATCTGAGGGTCCCTGCTCAGTTCCAAGGGATCCTACTAATCTGGCTCCCGGGTAAGAAAGGACAGCAATGGGAATTTCATCAGCTCAATGTGGTCATGAAACATGAAACATGCATAATTTTGTGAATATTGGATTCTGTGTTTCTATGTCAGGGACCAGATATGACATCCAGTCTCCATCCTCCCTGCCTGTATCTCAAGGAGACAAGTCACTATCACTTGCCAGGACAGTCAGGATATTAGCTATAACTTACATTAGTATCTGAAGAAACCAGGGAATCCTCCAAGGTTCTTAATCACTTATTCATCCAATTTGTGCTATGGGGTCCCATCGAAGTTCGGTGGCAGTGGATCTGGGACAGATTATTTTCTCAGCATCAGCAGCCTAGAATCTAAAGATGTTGCCACTTATCACTGTCAAGAAGAATATAAAAGTCTTTCCAGAGTGTTACAAGTCATCAAACCTTCCAGGAAAGCAGATGTTTGAGGCTGGGCTGCCCCAGCTGCGCCCTCTGGTGTTTCTGTTATTTTCAGACACAGTCAGATGCTCAAGTTCAGTAAGCCATTTTAGAAGAAGGTCTGTGAACTTCTGTTTTATTCAAACACCCTTTCCTACTCTTCATCCTAGAAAGGCCTCCAGAACAGTCTCTTCCTATTCAAAGCAGATGTAGATCATTATTCCTCAGTAGTGTAGGTTATGACGTTAGTTTTGATTTACCGGGCAAAGGAAAAACCATTCTAGGTATTAGGAACAGCATTGTTACTGTTGTTATTGTTGTTCCTAGTAAAAGGTAATCATAATTTAAACTACATGAAGCAACTGATTCACACATAATAATATTTTGTAGTGTCAGACATGATATTATGCTTCAATAAGGTTTATATTGTATAATATAATTTGATATTTGTATATAATAATTTGTATATAATATAATTTGTATAATATGATTTGCAATTGGCATATCAACAATCATAAGATCTCGTTTCTTTGTGGAGAATTTTTAAAGACCTGGGGGTTTGACAATCAAATATTACTGGAAATGGGAAATTCTTCCTTGCACCAGCCCATCTTCACAGCCAAGAAATCATAGATGAAAACTTCTAAAAAATGAGTTTAAATCTTTTCTCTTTTTGAGGTGATTATCTCAGTTATTTTATCACAGTGATGGAAAGCTGACCAATATAATGGGTAGGCTAATCCTTATTGTCAACTGGTTTAGACTGAGAAATGTCAAGGAAATTAGCTCTGAGAAATGTCAAAGAAATGGCTCATTCTGAAGAGGTGTCCATGTATATGTTTCTAGATCAATCATGTGGGCTCTGCCAAAATGCCTAGATTCATCACTTGAAAGGTTAGCAGTGAAGGACTATTACTGGGAAGTTGTAAAAGCATGGTATGGGCTTAGTTGGAGTAACTACACCACCAGTAGACATGACCTTGGGACTCTATCTTGCCCTGATCACTTCCTATCTTCCCTTGGCTTCTTGTCTGCCCTGAGTTGAGTACCTCTGTTAGATGGTCCTATCCTATGATGTTCTGCCTCACCATAAGCCAAGAAAGCTTAGGACAATAAACTTAAAGCTCTGAAACTGAGTTCAAATAAACATTTCCTTCCCTTAAGTTGTTCCTGTCAGTTAATTGGTTTTAGACAACAAACTTTATGAACATACCCATATCTACTGACTAACAATCTATACTTTAAGCAGGTAACAAGGATCCAAAGAAGGTTCCAGAAACACTGATTTAGGACAAATCTATTCTCACTAAGGAGATCTTAACTTAGCAAAAATTATTTAGGTACACAAATATTTATCCAGTGATCTCATGTCTCAAAAGAATAATGGTTTTTAGAAGCTTGAGGGTAGATGAGTACTAAAGTTGCTAAAAGATATTGCTTATGATCCCAATAAACTTCCAAAAGAAATAAGGGAATTAAATTTGAATCCACATTTGGCAAAATTGTTATCAAGAAGCTTTCTTTTTTTTTTTTTGTCAGTTTGGGGGCTTGAACTCTGGGCCTGGGTGCTGTCTCTCAGCATTTCAGCTCAAGGCTACCACTTGAGCCACAGCACCACTTCCAGTTTTCAGGTGGTTTATTGGAGATTAGAGTCTCATGGTCTTAAAAAAAAAAAAGAATCTCATGATCTTTCCTGCGCGGGCTGGCTTTGAACTGTGATGGTCAGATCTCAGCCTCCTGAGTAGCTAGGATTACAGGCGTGAGCCACAGGCACCTGGCTTCAAGAAGCTTTTTTTACTGGGACTCTGCACAACTCTTGAGATAATCAAGTAGCTTAACAAAACTAAACAAAACAAAGCCAAAACTCCAAATGAATATTCTGCCAACTGCTATGTCAAAAAGCTGCTACATGATGGCAAAAGGATCTCACAAAGAGCAAAAAAACTATGGCCTTAGGAACCCTGGGGAACAAGGGGCATTGCTACCCCCTTCTCAACAGGAGCTCCAAGCTAGAGGGCTCTCTGTCAGGTTTTGATGGCTCACATGACAGCTGGGACCATGTTTATAGAGGAGGCTATGTCTCTTCATGTGCAAATTTCTGACTATTTTATATTTTCTTTGTCAACTACAATTACACCTCACAAGAGTGACACACCAGGATTCTTGTAGTGAAGTCATTAAGTCCAATTCAGAAAAGTGAGGGAAGGAGTGTGGACCCCACAGATATGCAGCCCTAAAGGGAGCATGTGCACACATCATGTCCAGTTATGGGAGGTGAGAGGGGGCTGCAGTGTCAGTGCTGTCCCCAGCAGGTCCCCAGGGTCCTCTGCTTGTCCTCAAGGGCACAGACTGGGTTCTGAGCTTCATGATGCTCAAGCTAAGAGTGAAAAAGGGCTACTTACATGGTGACATGCCCATTGTTCTGCAGAATGTTTTCTCAGTATAAGAATTTAAAATGACCCAGGAGCCAGTGGCTCCGACCTGTAATCCTAGCTACTCAGGAGCCTGAGATTTGAGGATCTTGGTTCAAAGCCAACTGGGCAAGAACATCTGTGAGACTCTTATCTCCAATTAACCACCAGAAAACTGGAAGTGGTGCTGTGGCTAAAGTGATACAGTGCTCGCTTTGAGTGCTAACACAGACTCCAGTGGATTTCAGACTGTCCTGAGGACCCTGCTGACTCTCCTCTTTATCCCAGCCCCTCAAAAGCAATGAGAATACCTCTGGAGCATCCTTCCCACATTCAGCCCTGCTCTGAAGTCTGGGTCTCTCAGACTTGCAAAGTGGTCCCAGATTTCATTCCAGCTCATGTCCCCCACTCTCCTTTCCTGAGTGTACCTCCTGTAATGATTGTAGGTGGAAAGGACTTCTGATCCCCACTTGTTCCTGATTTTTAACCTCATCTGTCAGCTAGTCAGCTTCTTGCCTCCCAACCCTAGACAGTGTATGTGTGCCCACAGCTCTGGTTTGAGGCCATTGTTCTAAACTCTCCATGTTTTCCAGTGTCTAAATCTGTGTGGACTTCAAATTCATAATTCCATGTCCTGGAGCATAGATCAGGAGAATTTAATATGTTATCTTCAGAGCTTGACTTCTTTCAACACTCCTTGAGTAGCAGCTTTTGGTGTCTGTCTTCCTCTTCCTATCAATATATCCCCAACAATTTACCAGGTGTTTTTCACAATTACACAGTATCCAGCTGCCATCTTTTTATTTGAACCAGCTTCGTCTTTCAGTGCATGGTAGAGAAGTGAATCTGTACCAGAAAAGGTATTAGGGGCTATTCAAGGGAACAGATGATAAGATTAGAAGTGAAATTTTAGAGGAGTGGAGGGAATGGGTATAGCTTTTAGGTAGGATTATAAATCACCATAATAGGAGGGAAGAAGAAAATTGTAAAAATCTTCCTGAAGCAGTTCTGTTAGCATATGCTACAGAGATCAGTTGGCCCAGTCCTCATCTCTGTCTGCATCTCATGGAGACAGAGTTGCCATCATTTGCAGGGCCAGTCAGCGTATTAGCAATGATTTACATTGGTACCAACAGAGAGCAGGGAAAGCTTCAAAACTCCTGATCAGTTACACAACTACTTTGCAATCTGGGGTCCCATCAAGGTTCAGGGAGGTCAATCTGGAACAGATTTCACTCTCACCATCAGCAGCCTGCAGCCTGAAGATGTTGCTACTTATTACTGTCAACAGAGTAATAGTTACTTTCCCACAGTAATATTAACAATAACATAAACCTCCAGGGAAGCAAAGGTGAGAGGCTGGGCTGCCCCATCTGCTTATCATGGTGCTTGCATCTGCTGATAGAGCTTTTCAGATGCAGCCAAATGTTGAAGGTCACTGGAAAGTATTGGATAGGCATCTCCACACCCTAACCCTCTGTCCTTCTGCTCATCCCAAGCAGCACACACCTGACAATGCCTCTTCTAACTTTATAAGAACACACATCTGTACTCCTGTGTGGTCCATATTGTGCTAAAATTCTGCAATCACTCAATGAAGAATTGATTCTAGGTATGTCAAAGCAGATTTTTGAAAGGAAGACAATATGGCTTGTGAAAAATATTTTAAAAAATAATTTTGTAAAGAAAAATAGTCATTAAAAAGTATGATTGCCATGGAATAATTGTATTTGAAGTAATATGATGTTAGGGTATATATTCATATTGTACAATGTTTTAATAATACAATTAGACAATCAGTCATCACTTAAAACACCAAATTTTTTGTAGTCAGCAGATTTTCTTTTCTTCAGCACATGAGATCTTTTTTTTGGCTTTCATAATTTTTAATATGTTTTGTCTTTTCTTTTTTGTACCAGGGATTTCAAGTAACATTTTTACAACACATCCAATGCTTTTAACTAGTTACCAAATATTAATTTATCTTGAATGCTGAATGTCAAATCGATCATTATTCTCCATGTGATTCTCTCATCCCATGACAATAAAAATGGAATGATTTTTTTTTGAAACTTGAGGAAATATAATGGCAAAAAATAATAAAAAATTTGTAATTCTGCTTTGGAAACTGCAGAAAGAATTTTTCTGTTGTTTGACCTCAGATTATTAAAGCACACTTGATTTCTAGCCCAATTCAAATAAATCCACATATAGCTAAATAAAAATAGGCAATATGTGAATAAATAGAACAGATTTAAGACATTTATAAACTATATACTAGGTACAGTTACATAGTGACATATATTACACCAATGTTTACCAGTTTAATCAGAAAAGGGTCTTCCATGTACCATGCAGATGTAATAAGAGCCATAAATTCATATTTAGTATTTATATATAGAACTATACATGGAAGAAAGGGGTTGAGTAGAGGGATGGGGTAGAAAAATGAAAGAGGTGACATTGATCAAGATACATCATATGTATGAACTATGTTTAATGGTCACTCTTTTATACAACCACGTATATATAATAAAAATATAATTAAAAACAAAAAATGTGTATGAAATTCTCATTTGTCATGACACTCATCTCTGTCTGTCAGACAGGATGTGGATGGATAGGGTTGGATCTCATCTGATTCAGAAAATCCACAGTAAAGCAGAGAGGGAGAGGACTGCTGGGAAATGACCTTCTTGAAGAGACTGTGATGACAGGAGCTCACAACTAATTGCCTAAGACCATATTCGCACATGCTTCTTCCTATCAGCAGCTTGTAACCATAGCCAGTTACACTCAGTCTCAGTCCATGGAAAATGAATATTTGCATGACATATGTAAAGGACACTTCTCGAGCAAAACTTCTTGACATATAAGAAGCAACATAACTGAACATGGATGCAATATTATTTTTTGTCAGCATCACTTAGAGCATGTTACAAACACAAAATTACAAAATGACCTCAGATGTACTGATTTTGAATCTGCACTTCAGCAAGTTAACAAATGATCCCTGTAAGGTTTAGGAAGAGTTGTATTAAGATGAGTATCAGAGGTAGAGATTTACTTTTTATACACCAGTCTATTTAAGAGTATTTCTATTTAAACCACTTCTCTCATACCCTCCTCTCTCCCCTCTCTCTCCCCCTTTCTCTCTCAATCTCTTTCTCTCTCTCTTACTCTCTCTCTCTCACACACATACACACACACATACACAGATCTTTGTCAATCATTTACTAAAACAAAGTTATTGGCACAAATTCTGAATAAAGAAGAGTGTTGCTTAACGCACAGTGTTAGAAATAAAAGTCCACTATGTAGTATCCTCATCTGTCTGTGCTCAGGTAAGGCCTGTCCTGTCGTGCTAAAATAGTGTTAGTAAAGAGGGAACAAGCTGCAGATGAGATGGCCAAGCATATGATTGTGGTAACTTCATAACAAATGACTATTATGAGAACTGACTCAATCCATGAGAGCAGCTTTAATCCTCCTGATAGCAGGAAATCTGACAGCCTGCTCACTTCCCATAAGGCATCACTGCTCAAGGCCAAGTGGGGTCCATTGAGCCATCAGAATGTCTCTTTCTCCATGTTCACCTTCTTCACAAGCACAGAGATTTTGGAGACAAGAAGTAGAGACAGAGCATCTGACACAAATAAACAAAGACTAATTAACTAGATTGGTACTGCAGACATTTAAAGATTTTATATTAATTAAAGGTAATGAGAAATATATTTATACAAACATGTATTAATATAATTATCTTGAAGTAGTCACATTAGTACATTTCAACTCAACATCTCCATGTATGAGTATAATACATCTTGATTGAATTCAAACTTCTATTACATTCCAGGTAGGATTTTTAAGAAATAGGTTGATTAATTAATTAAATATAGTACAGGATATTGTTGTATCAAAATGGTTACATTGAATATACATATATATGAATATATATTCACACTTTCATGAATAAATATTTCTGTCATATTTTTCATTTTAAGACAATTTGGTCATTACCTATAAGAGAAAAAATTGCTCTCCCTGTCAATTTTTTTGCCCTAAGTCTTAACAGGAATTTCCTATGGAAACAGACTTTCTAACACTTGTAGTTAAATCCCTGAACAGATCATCTGGTAACTATGGATATCAGATGCCTCTTCATCTACTCAACTCTCTGCTCTTAGTGGTCAATTCCCTTGAGGATCACTGAGGAAAGAGGGTACTGTGCCTTTCCCTATACTAACTGAGGAGATTCATGGGAGCTAAGGCATGATATCTATTCATTTCCTAGAGATGATCCTGGACATAAGCCTGCCTACCATTGGGTACTGATACTGTTCTATGGGGTGAGAGCATGTGCACCCTATACTTCTTGGAGAAACAGAACTTTTACAGTGGGATCCTTCTTTCCAGTGCTGCAGAAACCATGTAATTTTTTTTTTTTTTTGGTTATTACCAAACACTGAACACTTCTGTTGTCACTTTTCTTAGAAGAGCAGGCTTTATCCTCCATTTTTCTTTCCTCACACTGTTGCCCCCACCTGGCTATTTGCATATTGCTCCCTAAGGAGGACTTTCCTTTCTAAGTCTGAAATAAAGGCTCAGCTATGATCTTGCCTTGACCTGTCTAGACTCCTCATTTCACTCCTAAAAATGAAGTCCTTGTCTCAGCTCCTGTGGCTGTTAATGCTCTGGATCCCTGGTAAGAGCAATGGAGATGAGGAATGAGAGTGGGTGGGAGGGTGAGCTCTTAGCACCCATGGTGCCCAATCCACGTTTTAGACATGCAGGTCTTGTTATCCATGATGGGGCAAATGGAGAAAAGGTCTTAGATAGTTAGAAACATTCCCGAAAGTGCTAGAGCTTATGCTTGGATACATATTCTGCTGGTTGAGAAGACTGTTGGTGACTCCTAAAGACTCATTTATGGTTTAAAACGTCTGATCTTTAATTTTTGCTATTTTTACATTCTGAATCAAGGCATGATATGAATAAAATGCAATATATATCAAAATATAAGTAGTACATGAGTGTCTGTCTATAGTTGTGAATAACCTTGCATTTCTTCTTATTCTAATTTCAGGATCCAGTGGAGATGTTGTGATGACCCAGACTCCAAGTTCCCTGTCTGTCACACTGGGAGAGTCGGCCTCCATCTCCTGCAAGTCTAGTCATAACCTTCTGTATGAAGATGGACACATCTACCTCGATTGGTTCCTGCAGAAGCCAGGCCAGATTCCACAACTCTTGATCTATAAGGCTTCCAACAGAGCATCTGGGGTCCCTGTCAGATTCAGTGGCAGTGGGTCAGGCACAGATTTCATACTGAAAATCAGCAGGGTAGAGGCTGAGGATATTGGAGTTTATTACTGCTTGCAACGCACACATTATCCTCACACAGTGATACAGCCCTGAACTAAAACCTCCCTTCTGACTAGGGCAGCTGTGCTCATGCATTGGTGCTCTGGAGAGCAGCTGAGCATATTGTCTCAGGCACTATGTCAGTGTGAGAGTGACTCTGAGTGGAGGCGAAAAGTCTGTGTCAATGAGACAACATACAATCTACAACGACCAGGAGAGTAATCATGCAAGCACAGAAAACAGGAGATATCAGATAAATCTAGTTGTTTGTGTGGTACTGAGGTTTGAACTAATGACTTCACAAGTTCTCTTCCATTTCTGCTACACATCCAGACTTTTACTTCTTGTTGTTTTATTTGTTGGTTTTTGTTTTTTCAGGTCAGTTTCTGTGGTTTGTTTGTCTGGGTCACAAATCCAGTCTTTAATTCACTCACTGCATTTTTCTCCTGTTTGACACTAGAAGAGATGGCTGACATAGGAACATGCATGTTTACAGAGAAGTGTAATGTGAGTAGACTTCAGATCATAGGAGAGAAAATACCTTGGCTTTTGAAGAAGAACATTTTGGGATAAGAAGGATAGAGTCATTGGAACTGGGGTGAGGTGGAATCTCAATGTTGTTTTGATTTGCATTTCTTTTATGGCCAGAGGAATTGAGCATTTCTTCATGTGTCTATTGGCCATTCTTATTTCCTCTTCAGAGAAGTCTCTCTTTAAGTTGTTAGCCCACTCATTAATGGGTATGTTGTTTCTTTCAAGATTTGTTTTTAGGGGATTTAATTTTTGTGTTCTAATTGTATTTTAGGCATGAGGTCCTAGTCTGCTGTATGGCTACTGAAGATCTTCTCCCAGTTTGTGGACTTTCTATTGATCTTGCTTGCTATGCCCTTTGCCATGAAGAAGTTCTGCAGTTTAATTCAATTCCATTAATCCAAACTTTCTTTGATTTGTTTTGTTTATAGGCCTTTTTAAAATTTTATTTTCTTATAAAGATGCTGTACATAGATGTTATGGTTATATCAGTATGTGAGTACATTTTTTGTTGACATTGTTACCCCCTTCTTTGTTTATTCCCCCCCACTATTCCTTCCCTTCCCTACTCCCCTACTGTCCATTCCCTCTCACAGCCTCCCCACTTACCCCCACCCCAAAGTTTGTAAAGTTCATTTACAACATAGCATCTTGAGAATATCATTGTTGCAATGGATCATCCTGTGTCCTTGTTTCAGCATTTTGTTACTCCCCTTCCCCTCCCCAAATTAGATTAAATGTATATACAAGATGCAAGGTACCAAAATTAAATACAATGACAACAGGGATATGTCATAGGAGGAAGAACATAAAAAAGAAACAAACAAAAATCACATAGTACATTGAAAACACCAACAACAAAGAAAAACCTCTTTTGTCCATATCTTAACTTAACATCATCTTATATGGTCATATATACATTGATTTTGAGCTTTTCTACTCATCTAATAAGCTTATCCTAGACATAAAATAATTATTACAAACAAGGGAAATCATGGCACCTACATTTCTTTGGGTCTGGCTTATCTCACTTAATATGATTTTTTCCAAGTCTTTATTAAGAAAATTTCAGCATGGGCCAAGGAGCCCTAGAGTTTCTTCTATTCCTTACTGTGATGTTTTCAGCGTGTCTACAGATGCTGGAGAGGGTGTGGCCAAAAGGGAACCCTATTGCACTGTTGGTGGGAGTGTAAACTCATGCAGCCACTCTGGAAAGCAGTATGGAGGTTCCTCAAAAGACTGCACATAGAGCTCCCCTATGACCCAGCAATCCCACTTTTGTGCACTTATCCAAATAATCACAAACAAGGCCGTACTAAAGCTACCAGCACAACTATGTGTAGCGCAGCATTATTCACCATTGCTAACACATAAAAAGCAACCCAGTTGCCCATTTGTAGATGAATGGATCAAGAAAATATGTTCTCCCTTTCTCTCTCCATATATATATGTATATGTGTGTGTGTGTGTGTGTGAGTGTGTGTGTGTGTGTGTGTGTGTGTTAATCATAAAGGATGACACTGCCCCATTTGTTAGGAAATGAAAAGAGTTGGAAAAAAATCATATTAAGTGAAGTCAGCAAGACCCAAAGAAATATTGGTCCCATGGTTTCCCTTATTTGCAGTAATTAGTATATATCTAGGATAATCTTATCAGATCAGCAGAAAATATCAAAAGCTCTGTACATATGACCATATAAGATGACGCTAAGTGAAATGAACCCCAAGTTATGGACAAAAGAGGTTTTTCTTTGTTATTTTTCTAGTGTAATATATGATATTCTTTTGTTTCTTTTGTAAGTTCTTCCTCATTAGGTATAAGCCCTGTTGTCACTCTATTTGATTTTCATACCCTGCATCTTGTATATTCATTTATCTAATTTGGGGAGGGGAAGGGGAATAACAAAATACTGAAACAAGGACATAGGATGACCCATTGCAACAATGATATTCTCAAGACGCTATGTTGTAAATGAACTTTACATCTTCGGGGTGGGGGTGAGTGGGGAGTTTGTGAGAGAGAATGGATAGTAGGAGAAAAACAAAGGAGGGGGTAACAATGCTTGACAAGAAATCTACTCATTACCTTCCTCATGTAATTGTAACCCCTCTGTGTAGCATTTTACTATGTATCTAGCTATGTATCGATGCATCTAACTATGTATCTTATGTCTCTATCTATCTATCTATCTATCTACCTACTATCATCAACAATCTTAAGTTTTGTTACTATAGGGTAATTATGTTCATGATAACCCAAAAAGAAGTTCATAAAAAACAACTGATGTAGCAGGGAATCATAAAACAATTAGTTGTACATCTCTGAAACTGTCTTTTCCTGAATGGATGGCTTTATAAAAGGCTAGCATGAAAAACACTTTATGGTTTCCCTTACTTGCAATAGCTAGTACATGTCTGAGTCAAGCAGAAAAGGTCAGATAAGTTGATGTTAGGGGAAAGAACCCCAAAATAAGTATTCAAATTTTTTTTCTTTCATGCAACTGTTTCTAACATATTTATAAGATGATTTCTTTGTTGCTTTGTATGTCCCTCCCTCACAATATAAGCCCTGTCTTCTGTACTTGATGTTGGTATAATTTGTAGAGGGGAAGGGAAAAAACAAATCGTTAACTAGGGATACAGGTGGACCCATTGCAACAATGAGATGTACAAATCTTTATGTCGAAAAATGAACTTTACAACTTTGGTGGGGGGGGGAGGGAGGATAAAGTAGGGGAAGGTGGGGGAGGCATATGGGAACGGATGGGACAGGGAAACAAAGAAGAGACAACAATGCTTGATAAGAAATGTACTTGCTATCTTGCCCATGTAATTGTTACTCCTCTGTATGGTATTCTCATATGTTTTTTTCAGCAACACAAAATTCAAATGTTAATTTTTCTTAATTTTGTGTTATTTTTCTGATTCTCTTTTTAGTTTCCTTACGCTGTATTATTAAACAATATGTTATTTAGTTTTATCTCATTTTAAGACTGAAATTATATAAGATCTATTCTTTTTTTTTTTCTTTTTTTTTGTTGTGAAAATACTGTACAGAGGGGTTACAATTACATGGTCAAGATAGTGAGTACATTTCTTATCAAGCATTGTAGCCTCCTCCTTTGTTTACCCTTCTCATCCCTTCCCATCCTCCCCCACCTAATCCTCTCCCCCAAAGTTGTAAAGTTAATTTTTGACATGACAACTTGTTCTTCTCATTGTTGCAACAGGTCCACCTGTATCCTTATTTAAACGACTTGTTTTTCCCCTTCCCCTCCACAAATTATACCGACATCAAATAGAGTGATAGCAGGGGTTATACTGTGGGAGAAGGACATACAAATCATCAAAGAAATAATTTTATAATTGCGTTAGAAACAAATGCATGAAAGAAAAAAACATTTAAAATACATATCTTAGGGTTCATTTTCCTAACATCACCTTATCTGACCTTTTCTGCTTGACTCATACATATACTAGATATTGCAAATAAGGGAAATCATGGGACCTATGTTTCTTTGGGCTTGGCTTACTTCACTTAATATAATTTTTCCAAGTCTTTCCATTTCCTAACAAATGGGGCAATGTCATTCTTTCTGATGGAGGCATAGAATTCCATTGTGTATATATACCACATTTTCTTTTTTTTTTTTAATTTTATTTTATTTTATTTGTGAACATACTGTACAGAGGGGTTACAATTACATGGGCAGGACAATGCGTACATTTTTTACCAAGCATTGCAGCCTCCTCCTTTGGTTTACCCTTCACATCCCTTCCCAGCCTCCCCCCTCCCCCCCAATCCCAATCCTTCTCCTTCCCCCCCCTCCCCGCCTCCCCCCCCCTCCCCCCCCCCCCCCCCCCCCCCGCACCGACGTTGTAAAGCTCGTTTTGGACATGACAACTTGTACTTCTCATTGTTGCAACAGGTCCACCTGTATCCTTAAACAACTGGTTTTTCCCCATCTCCTCCACAAGTTATACTGACATCAAATATAGTGAAAGCGGGGGTTATACTGTGGGGGAGGGACATACAAAGCAACAAAGAGATAATCTTATAAATGCGTTAGAAACACATGCATGAAAGAAAAAAAACATTAAAATACATATCTAAGGGTTCGTTTTCCTGACATCACATTATCTGACCTTTTCTGCTTGACTCATACATATACTAGATATTGCAAATAAGGGAAACCATGGGACCTATGTTTCTTTGGGCCTGGCTTACTTCACTTAATATAATTTTTTCCAAGGCTTTCCATATGGGGCAATGTCATTCTTTCTGATGGAGGCATAGAATTCCATTGTGTATATATACCACATTTTCTTGATCCATTCATCAACTGAGGGGCATCTGGGTTGGTTCCAGATCTTAGCTATGGTAAATAATGCTGCAATAAACATAGTTGTGTTGGTAGCTTTAGTGTGGTCTTGTTTGTAAACATTTGGGTAAATGCCCAAAAGTGGGACTGCTGGGTCATAGGGGAGTTCTATGTGGAGTCTTTTGAGGAACCTCCATACTACTTTCCAAAGTGGTTGAACAAGTTTACACTCCCATCAACAATGAAGTAAGGTTCCCTTCTGTCCACATCCCCTCCATCATCTGTTGTTATTAGAGTTCTTGATTTTAGCCATTCTAACTGGGATGAGGTGGTATCTCAATGTTGTTTTGATTTGCATTTCTTTTACGGCTAGGGAGGTTGAGCATTTCTTCATGTGTCTATTGGACATCCTTCTTTCTTCTTCAGAGAAGTTTCTCTTTAAATCATTAGCCCACTTATTTATTGGGCAGTTATTTCTTTGCGGATTTGTTGTTGGGGATAAGATCTATTCTGAGGAAGTGGCGCTGTAGCTCAAGTGGTAGAGCACTCGCCTTGAGCTGAAGAGCTGAGGGACAGCACCCAGGCCCAGAGTTCAAGCCCCACGACCGACAAAAAAAAAAAAAAGAATAAAGATCTATTCTTATAGGAGTTTTATTTGAATTGCTTTTAGATCCATGCATGTCATGAACAGTTCAATTATTTGCATTAATAGCATTCAAATGGATATATGTTTTGCTGTGATGTTAGTTCTAATGTAGAAAAAATTGAGATATTTGAAGTCTGTTGTGTATTCTGTTCAATTACAATGATGCTATTAAAAGAAAGAAAAACATTTTATGAACAACATGGAAACCACTATTCTCAAATCACAGGATATAAATTCATTTGGTTCTCTGGACTCAAGGCAGAACCATTTTAAGCTAGCACATTTGCACTGCTCTGGTCAGGTAGGCCTTATTGTATCCTGGACTTATTGAAGACAATAGCTATGTACTAAGAGAAGGAAATCTGCCAGCCTTGCTGCTGTGTGTCCTCTTTTTACCCTGGCTCATGTGCATATGCCCAGAGCACTGCCAACAGCAATTAAGACTTCATGATAGGCTTCTTATTGACTGGGCAGCAGTCAGTCAGTTTCAGCACACAACATGGACATGAGGGCCTCTGCTCAGCACCTGGAGCTCCTGCTGCTCTGCTCCCAGATAAGAGAAGACAATGCCTCAATTTATTCATTATAGCCAAAGCTTCTTCAAGGAAATATTATAATAAGCAAATTATTATTCATTTTTGTATTTTCTGTGTCAAGTACCAAATGTGTTTTCCAGATGACCCAGTGACATCTCTGTTGGCAATTCTAGGAGAAAAAAAATCACCATCACTTTCAGGGTCAGACAGGGCATTAGCAATTATTTAAATTATTATCAGAAGATACAAGAGAAATCTCCTGAGCTCCTGATATATTGAGCATCCAGGTTGCAATCTGGGGTCCCATCAAGGATCACAGGCAGCAGATCTGGGACAGCGTTCACTCTCACCATCAGCAGCCTGCAGCCTGAATATTGCAACTTATTACTGTCAACAACATAAGACTACCTCCAACTGTTAAACAAGTCATCATATAAACCACCCAGAGGAGCAAAAGTGGAAGTCTGGCTGCCCAGATACTCCTGTTTGTGCATCCCTCCACTGACAGTAGTACTTAATGGAATTTTTCATGGAAAGAATCAATGAAAATCTTGTCCAGCCTTCTTCTCTTTTTTCCTACTCAGCCCAGCAGCACAGACCTGACAATGTACTTGCTGTCTAATCAAAGATAAACCTATACTTACAAGGAGTCTGGAAAGTGATATCCTATTGGATTCATAAAATAAAAAGAAGCTGTTATGAATATACCAAAAATTATTTTATACTGAATAGCTGTGGTTTTTCTGGGTAATCATCTTCTGGTCCAGTGATAGACAGAAGGAAAATAGAGAAGACTTGATATTCCTACCAAGTCCTCCCATTTATGTGATTATTTAATTTCTGGAAAGGGTAATAAGACAATACAACAGAGAAAAAAATATGTATTTTACATTTCATTGTGAAATAGCCTAGTGTTGGATCCATGTTTCATAATGTTTAGGGAAATTAACAAAATGTTATGAAAACCCAAGCATAGGGTCTAAAATAGTAAAATTCTCACCAGACACTCAATTACATCTTTGTAATTTTGTATTAGCAGTATTTCCTTAGATATGCATAATGCCAAGACATGAAGTGAAATCAGGGATAAATTAGACTTTGTAAATTTGATCAATTTCAAAGCTCTAATAGACACTTTTAAGAAAGTGAAAAGACAGACAATGGAAAAAGAGAAATGGTATGCCAATCATCTATCTGATACCAGGTTAGAGCTTCTGTAGTTTTCTCAGTGGTCATTGGAAGAGGTCCACACTAGAAGACCAATCTGAAATTTCTAGGTGAGAAGTGCTCTTGTAGAAATATTAAGGACAACCCCTGCCAGTATTTCTCCAGGCTGAGAACTGATAGAGAATCAAGATCACCAAGGTTTCATGGTTCAGTTGTGCAGTGAACACATCTTCACTCTCAGTTGCAAGCTGGTAAATGAAGTGAGTTCAGCAGAAATCAACATGCAGAAAGGCAAATTCTACCACCCAGTCTCATAACCCAATAAAGTTTCATATCTTCAATTTTTCCAAGAAAAAGAGAAGGAAAATTATAGACAGTTATAAACAAATGCAAAAGACAAATCATTACATCTGGAAACAATTAATTAAATAGCAATCTAAACTCCCAATGAGAACAAAGGTTGATGGATATCTTAGGACAGGATCACAAGGCTCAAAAGCTGTGTGCATGCAATCATATAAAATGATCCTTGTCAAAATGGACTCCAAGAAATGGAAGTAAGAGCTTTTTATTGAACTGTTTGCATTTTTTTACTTTCCTTTTCCTTTGGTTTATTTCCTTCTGTAGCTGTTTTTTTTTTTCTCCATAACCTTTGTCCTGGTGTGTGGTCATTTGGATAAATGTCCATAAGTGGGGTAGCTTACTATTTTCCTTAAAGGCAGGTTTGTATGTGCCAATTTTAATTTTGCATATCCAGTTATTTCAAAAACAGCATAAAGAAGTGCTGATTTTTATCCACCAAAGAAGTGGATACAGAATGCACTTCAGGATAATATATCCACAGCACCAAGCAATAAGGAAAGATAAATCTAGTTCATGGAAATTCCTAATCACCTTGTCCCTATGTGTCTTTCTGACCCAGACACTCCCTGTGTGTCTCTGGGTGAAGTCTTATAGACAGATGAGCCTTTCCATACTTCCTGTCACCTCAGCCTCTAGACAGTCTCCTGCTGTGAGGAGCTTCCTCCTCCAAATGTTAGTCATCCCCAAAATAAAATACTTTTGATCACTGATATCATGGGTTTTTTTGTTGTTTGTTTTTGTTTTATGTGATCAGCACACAGATCTAACCATCCTCCCAAAATTTCAAAACTCCTGAGCCCAAATTGTTCACTCCTATTTGATGGACACAAACAACTCACTTTGAAGAGCTTCTGGCCTGACACCAAGATACCACACATGGTTCCAATCTATGGACCCAGACCAAGAACATCAGACAAAGGAGCCTGAATGGCTGAATACAAAGTGTTCTCTTTAAGTCCTTCCTCCTTTAATTGCCTCTGGTCTTTAGGAAAGGCATTTAGAAGCCTGCATCCCACCTGGGAACAACAGACACTCCTCTTAGGACCTTACTCTTTTTCTTGACCAGCTTGTGGTCACCATCTCTGGTGACCTCAGCATTATGTGGTAACATAGGAGAGTGCCAGTTTATGTCAGTCACCAGAGGACAGTTGCCTGCCCCTATTCTCCTTTAGTTCTATAGATAGTGTACAAAACTTGAAATTGCTCCTTTCTTTTTCTGTGTGCTGGTTATGATCCTTGTACTCAGAGCCTAGGAGCCATCTCGTGCATTTTTGGCTCAAGGCTAGCTCTCTACCACTTGAGCAACATCTCCACTTGTTACATATTTAGTAGTTACACTTGGCTTTGAACGGTCATGCTCAGATCAAGGCCTCCTGAGCAAGTAACTAGGATTACAATTGTGAGCCACTAGCACATGGCTGAAATGTCTTGTTTGGGCCCAAGAAGAATTTTGGCTAGTTTTTATAATTTCTGTAGAATTGAGTTTCATATATTAAGACCAAAGGCAACCAAAAGTAATGATAGTCTCTTTAAAGATTAATCATTTATTTTTGCAAAAATGGTAATATATTTACAATAGAAATGTCTTTAAAGAATATATTGCATCTATTATGTTTTCCAGCATTAAGTTCCAGTAAGTGAGGACATGACATACTTCATATTGTTACTTATTTTCCTAGAATTCGAATTTGGTATTTAGTAGTAAATCTAAGTACAGTTTAATTAGAGATCCAAAACATGTATTTTTTTTCCATTTTCTTTTGAAAAATAGTATTAGCATTGAGGAATTACACAAAGGGATTTCATTAGGATATTTACAACATGAATATCATAGACACTGAACAAAAATATAAAATATATTACTCTTTATTATGATATGTGTATATGTGACACATACATATATGTCAACCATGTGTTAATAATATGTCATATACATGCCACATGCATGTCACAAACATTTAACACATGCATCATGTACATGCCACATATGTGTCAGCTGGCATACATACCCCCACACACCTCACATGTCATATATCATGTACATGCCACACATATCATGCGCATCATATGTGTCATATAATATTCATATGTGTCATGTATATACAGGTATTTGCCTATATGTAGATGTTAACATGTATATATGCCTATGTATTTTAATAGCATATGTATATACTCTATGTATATATTTTCTGTATATAATGTACTGTATGTAAGACTGTATAATAGTCTCTCTAAACATAAAGAATATATAATACTGCATTTTACATATAATATTCTTCTATTGGATTTATTATTTATCACCATCTCCCTTATTTTTCACCATACATGATGGCCCTCCAACATTTACACATTTATTTCCTTTTTATTTTTGTTAATTTACTTTAATTTTGTTATAATGGTAACATACAGAGTGGGGTTATATATACATATGTAAAGTAATGAGTACATTTCTTTTTTTATTGTGAAAATACTTTACAGGGGGGGTGACAATTACATGGGCAAGATAATTAGGACATTTCTTATCAAGCATTGTAGCCTCCTCCTTTGTTTCCCCTTCCCATCCCTTCCCCCATCCTCTACCCGCCCCCCCACCCAATCCTCCTTCCTCCCTCCCCCCACCACCAAAGTTGTAAAATTCATTTTCGACATGACGACTTGTACATCTCATTGTGTTGCAATGGGTCCACCTGTATCCCTATTGAAATGATTTGTATTTTCCCTTCCCCTCCACAAATTATACCAACCTCAAATACAGTGAAAGCAGGGGTTATATTGTGGGGGAGGGACATACAAAGCAACAAGGAAAAATCATATAAATATGCTAGAAACAATCACATGAAAGAAGAAAAAAACATTTGAATACATACCTTAGGGTTCATTTCCTTAACACCAAATTATCTGACCTTTTCTGCTTGACTCAGACACATACTAGTTATTGCAAATAAGGGAAACCATGGGACCTAAGTTTCTTTGGGCCTGGCTTACTTCACTTAATACTGTTTTTTCCAAGTCTTTCCATTTCCTAATAAATGGGGCAATGTCATTCTTTCTGATGGAGGCATAGAATTCCATTGTGTATATAAACCACATTTTCTTGATCCATTCATCTACTGAGGGGCATCTGGGTTGGTTCCATATCTTAGCTATGGTAAATAATGCTGTAATCAACATAGTTGTGCTCGTAGCTTTAGGGTGGTCTTGTTTGTGAACATTTCTTTTCAAACATGATTACCCCCTTCCTCATACTCCCTCGCTCCTGAATCAACACCCCCCCCCCAAGTTGTAAAGTGCATTTTCAACTAGTGTTTTGTGAGTTTCACTGTGGCATTGGTTCACCCTTTGTCCTTTGTTTCACCATTTTGTCATTCCCTTTCCCTTCCCCCCAAAACATATAGTTTTAATTTAACATTTCTTCCAAATTATTTTCTATTTATTTATTTTAATTTTTTATTGTGAAAGTACCTTACAGAGGGGTTACAATTAAATAGGCAAGGTAATAAGTACATTTCTTATCAAGCATTGTTGCCTCCTTCTTTGTTTCTCCTTCCCAACCCTTCCCAACTCACCCCTGCCCTCCTCCCATGGGCCCCCCACACACAGGCCCTGCCCCACCAAAGTTGTAAAGTTCGTTTTTCAACATAACAACTTGTACATGTCATTGTTGCAATGGGTCCTCCTAGATCCCTGTTCAAACGGTTTGTGTTTGCCCTTCCCCTCAACAAATTATACCAACATTAAATACAATGAAAGCAGGGGTTATACCGTGGGGGAGGAACATACAAAGCAACAAAGAAATCATCTTATAAATATGTTGGACAATTTCTTTCTTAGACAGGCCTTCAATCAGAATGCTCCAATCTCAGTCTCCTAAATTGCTAGGGTTACAAACCTGATCTCTGCCTCCCAGCATCAATCTATGATTTCTATTGATCCAGCATTGGTGTTCGGATGATGGAGCATTATTCTTAAGTGAGTTGAGTTTGGTCCTATTTTCCAGAATCTGATTATTCTAGTCTCAAATGCATTAGTGAAAAGTGGGTCAAAATCGGATAGTTTCCCTGTTTAAATGATTACTGGTATGAGATTCTCACACCGTAGCAAATTATCGTCATTTAGTGAAGACCAGGAAAATGTGAGTCACAAGCTAATTGTAAACCTAACTCTGTGTAGCCTGACTTGGACCCAAGGGTACTATGCTACCTCATAGAAAGGGAGACAACAATGGAATCTTTCTAGGAACTGTCATCTGTTAACCTGTGAATGGTCAAGATGGAAACTTTAAGTGAATGATTCTCAGTAATGTTCATCAACATTTTCAGAAAAGACTTAAAATATTGCCTGGTGCTGGTGGCTCATGCCTGTAATCCTAGCTACTCAGGAGGCTGAGATCTGAGGATGGTGGTTCAAAGCCAGCCATTGCAGTAAAGTTTGTGATACTGTTATCTCTAATTAACCACTCAGAAAAGCAGAAGTGGCACTGTGGCTCAAGTGGTAGAGTGCTAGCCTACCCAGGCCAGGCCCAGAGTTCAAGCCCCACGAAAGGACTTAAAATATTAACTAAATTCTTTTAAACAAGATACTATGTAAAACATAAGTGGTTTGTTATCAGAATAAATAGTTACAAAGGTAAGTAAGGTATTACTTCTTGTATTACCTCTTGCAATATATTTAAGTCATTGGACATGATGAGAACAGAGTGCATGGTTTATGGCTCTGTCTTAGCCTCTCTTTCAAGTTTTAAACCATGTGTAAGTTCCTCTTATTTAGTACATATCAGCTCCTGACATCAGAGCAGACTTCTGATAAATCCCTCAGCACAAGCCATTATTGCAGAACTTGGAGTTACTATATGCTGCGTAGTCACGGCTCCTCAGGTCAGCCTTTCTCTCCTATTCCTTGTCAAGTCTTTCCTGTGCCTGTCACTGACACATCTAAGGTTCCACAACTCACTGTGGTGCTAATGGGTGAAACAAAAGCAGATCTCAAGCTATGTTGGACAGTTCATTTATTCCTACCCCAAACACAAAGGAATTATTTACTTTTATACACTGATAGTGTCATGGACAATACCAACAATGAAGTCTTGAGCACATCCAAAAAATCAGTAATCTCACTGAGCTTTTACTTTAATGAGATTGACAGACACCACATGAACAAATAATGTTAAGATGGCTGCTCCAAACTTGCTCCTTTGGGATTCTTACCCTCTTTTTCAATACTGCCTTGAACTTTGAATATAAGACCTGGATACTCTCCCTGAGCTTTTCTGCTCAATGGTAGCACTGAACTACTTAATCCATGGTTCCACTGCTGGCTTGTGGTGGTTAATTGTAGGTAACAATCTCACAGAGGTTTGTGCCTGAGCTGACATTGCACTATGATCCTCAGATATAGGTTTCCTGACTAGCTAAACTTACAGGTAGGAGCACTGGTTCAGAGTTAGATTCTCTCTTTTTCAGCAATGACCTTAATCAGAGCACCGGGACATGTCCATTTAGTGTCTTCTCATTTATCGCAAGGGACTGAGGAATAGAAAAGAAGTTGTACAGTTGAACACTTGTGTTTCATCAAAATTAAAGTCAACTGTGTGCTCACTAGGGTCCAGTTACCCAAATTAAGACATAGGTCTTCCAGTCCATCTTGTGCCCACAGCTTGCAGCAGTAGACTCTAGTCAGTGAGGAGGATTAGTGTCTGATAAAATCCATGTAAACAAGCACAGACCTATATTTAGCATAATGCACTTTTTACTATATTCATCATTTGTTTTAATAAAAAGTAGCCTGTCCTTTAATTTGGAGGGAAGCATTTGAGAGTGAAGAGAAAGAAACCTTAGTCTGTTATAATATATGACCAAGATTCTCAATAACTCCCTTACTCCTATGACTGTTTCCTTCTCTGACTAACTCACAGTCTTGGTCACTGATGATAGAGCAGACATTTGCTTCTCTACAGCACTGATTTTGCCTCCTCTATTCTCAGATATCATTTGGTGGGTTATTTAATTTGGGGGATTTTGATTCTCACCACATTCCATAGATGAGGTACAGGCTCCATGACTGGTCTTTCAGAGAAACCATGTCCAAGGATGCAATGTTGTGTAGTAATCTCTCCACCCTGGGCATTACCTGTGCTTTATCTCAAGGAGAGAATCTCTGCAGCTGGTGGCATGAAATGTATGAACACTCTATGACAAAGATTATTGGATTTCAGGCGTTATTCACATCCAGGCCCAAGCATCTCTCTCACTCCATTTCTGTCTCTGATTCTCTCTCTTTCTGAAATTCCAAGGGATTTATAGGCTGCTATGTCATGAACAGAGGAAGAAGAGAAATATACATTTTTATTTTTACCAGAGCCCCACTTAGACACTAAAGAAAATGGGTGGTGTAGGAATATTCAGATGTATGGAATGCAATACACTGAAATAGATGTGAGTCTATGGTTTAGAGAACACCTCAGCTTCTGAGGGGCTACAGCTTCAAATAATAAGGATAGGAGATACATGACACCCAAAAGTTTAGGACATGTCTGGTGCAGAAATGCACAATAGTCACAAGGCTAGAAAGAGTACCAAGTTCTTTCCTTAGTGTGGCGGGGGGTGACTTGTGTGAATTGTCCTGGAGGGAGGCAATGGGAAAGAACATTCACAAGGGAAGAAAATCAACTATTTATCAGGTGTGCATCAGCCATCAATGCAAAGACCCAGGGGATGGTCTGTACATTGTAGATCATGAATTTTTTTGCACTGATTTTGTTTTTACATAATTATTTTTTTAATTTAAATCACCTATCTACCTAGGTAGCTCTCTGGGTTTCCTTTGCTTCCTTGCTTTATTCTTTCCTTACATTTCTTACCTTTTGCATTTTTCCTATTTCCTACCTCTATACAGTCATATAATTCCATTATTTCTACCTAGACAACTATCTACCTACCTATGATCAATGTTTTCATTCATCAATTTTGGAGTAATAATGATTATGATTAATTGCACTTTGGATTTGGGGAAGGGAACAACGAGAAACTCTGGAAATCTGGTCTCATAATATCCAGTACCAGGGAAGCAGTCTTCTATAATTATTTTCATTCTGAAACTTCATATTTTTTCTGAGTGGCTGACTTTTATAAAAAGCTATCATGAAAACCCTAACATGGATCATGTTGAAAGTGAAATTCACTTTAAAAAAATAACAAGAGCGTCATTCTATCTTGATAAAACATTTTCTACAGACAAATTTGTTCTGTTCATGTCTCTGGGACACCTGGTGACTTCAGGTCTGGGATTGAACATAAATTTTGGCCAACCTGCATCTATGCCAGCCATGCAGCTCTTCCCACTGCTTGAGAATCTGCATATGTCCAGAGCACAGCCCACTTGGCCTAAGAATTACTTTATAGGATGCTCACACAGTGTGTAGCAGTGACTGGCACTAGCCAGTCACCACACAGCATGGACATGAGGGCCCTGCTCAGTTCCTGGAGCTCCTGTTGTCCGGCTCCCAGATTAGGAAGGACAGTGCTAGGAATTTACTCAGCCAGTGTTAAGAATGGTGTCTCACTCTACAAGGACGGTCTCAGAGCATAATTAATCATGTGATATTTGTCTTTTGTTTTCAATATCAGGTGCCAGATGTGACATCCTGAAGACCCAGTCTCCACCCTTCCTGTCGGCATCTATAGGAGACAGAGTCAGCATCACTTGCAGAGCAAGTGAAAACATTAGCCATGATTTACAATGGTATCAGCAGAAACCAGGGAAAGTTCCAAAATGCTTAATTTACAGGGCATCGAGCTTGGACTCAGGGGTGCCATCCAGGCTCGTGGGAGTCAATCTGGGACAGAGTTCACTCTCCTCATCAACAGCCTTCAGCCTGAAGACTTTGCAACTTGTTACTGCAAACAGGGTAAGTATTTCCCTCCCACAGTGATATAAGTCATAACAAAAACCTCCAAGAAAGAAACAGTGGGAGGCGGGGCTGCCCTTGCTGCTGCTCTTGGGGCTTCTGCCTGCTGACAGAGCTGCTCAGCTAGAGCCAGGCTCTGAAGTTTTGTATGTGGTCAGTGACAATCCTCTCAAACTTACCTGTCTTTCATCCATCTCATCTTCAAAGTCATCAGCCAGACAAGGCTTCTCCTGTCTCATAAAAATACAGCTCTGTACTTCAGAGCATCTGAGATATGGTATCCAAGTGGATATGATTTCCACTTGGTCACCAGAGAGGCCATTGCTCTCCCTTTGCTCCCCTCACACTACTGCACCCACTTGCTGTTGTGTATAGTGCTTCCCCTTCTAAGTCTGAGATTCATAAGACATATATCCCCAATTCTTGAAGCCAGCTCTGGAACATGGATCATGAGAATTTTGTGTGTTATCCTCAGAGCCTGGCTTCTTTCAACCACACCTAAGTAGGTACTTTGGGGGTCACATTTTGTCATTTGATTAATATATCCCCTATAACATGCCAGGTGGCCTTCATAACTATACAGGAGCCAGCAGCATTTTCCTTGTTTTATTTAGTACTAGCTTTGTCCTACAGTACATGGTAGAAGGAACAAGTTTCTCCCCACAAAGGCAGTAGTAGATATTAAGAGGACCACATGAGAAGAATAAAAGTTAAACTGAAGAAGAGTAGAAGGGATGGATACAACTTTTCAGTAGTAGGATTGTAAATTATTATAAAAAGAAGGGAGAAGATCATTGTAAAATCTTCCTGGAGCAGTTGCTTTAGCATGTGCTAACAGACCATTAATATTGTAAGAGGAGGAGATGATCAAATCAAGACTCAGATGGAGTTTATATAGTGAATAATAATGAAGTCTTTGATTGGATAATGCCTTGGGCTATGTGACTTAGAGCAACTGTGTTTTCTCTGTGCACCCAAAGCTGATGCTTCTTTTTATGATGTTAAGTTCCATGTGAATATCTGCACAGTGCAGTGTGCCAACACATGCTGATCTCCATATTAGGGCCTCCTAACTTTACTCTAGCCTCATTCCTATGGTCAGTTATTCTTGATTTGTCATGCTGAAGATGTCCTCTCTAAATTGTATGGCCACAGTTCTTTGTCTTCACTCTTGGCCACATTTCATTTTATTCCTTGTATGTTTGTTTGGATCACATAGCCTAAATGCAATCATTAATAAAATGCTTTAGCACCAGATGCCACTGGATCATCCCTGTAATCCAGCTACTCAGGAAGGTAAGATCTGATAATGGTGATTGGAAGTGAGCCTGACCATGAAAGTCTATGAGACCCTTATCTCCAATTAACAACTAAAAATGCTGGAAGTGAAGCTATGGTTTGTGTGGCAGAAAACCAGTCTTGTACATAAAAGCTCAGGAAAACACTGAAAACCAGAGTTCAAACTCCATGTCTACTACACAAAAAAATTCCTTTACTTACAACCCAAAAGATATTGGCATGAAGGACCATGCAGGCTTAAGGAGCAAGTTAATTTTAAGTAGAGTTGAACACCTGATTAACAGAACACCTTAGCTTCTGACAGAAAACAGTTTTCAGTAATTAAGATAAAAGGCAAAAGTGTCTTCCAAAAGTTAATTCAATTTTAACTGAAATATAAATGCATGATACTCACAAAGCTAGATATAAAGTCACGCCTAATCTTAAGAATGAAGAGGAAATGCCTGATGTGAACTGTCCTAGAGAGAGGCTATGGTTAAGAACATTCAGAAGAAAAGGAAAGCAGTCATGGCCTAAGGAGTGAACAGGGCACCAATGTAAACACCAACAGACAGTGTATCCATCTCAGATCATAATGCTTTATTGCACATATTATGTTTCTTCAAGGACTTTATCTTTCATGAAAAATTTTGAAGTCTCACTCTACCTAACTATAGTCTACCTGACTTTCTTGCTACATAAAGCTATATTATCAGTTTATAATATCTGTCTGGATAATAATGATTGTTATTAATTATATAATTATAGAATCCTGTGTCACAAAAATCTACAGATATCAAATGCAGGAGAATTCTAAAATTAATCTCCCCTGAAATATATATGTCTCAGTGATTTGCTTACATTAACACAAAGAAGAAAGAAAGTACTAGCAAGTCTTGGATAACGCAGAAATTAGAGACCATTATTTTGTTCACAGGACAACATATTATTTTTTTCATTACTTGGAATAAACACATTATCTACATAAACAAATTGGGTATCTGTGGTCTTTAGGCATTTGTTTTGTCACTAAGATCTGCCAGATTATAGCCATGCCCAGACCTTGCTGATTTTCATGTGTAAAGAGCACAGCCCACTTCACTGAGAACATCTTCATAGGCTGCTCCATTCAGCCCACAGCATGGACATCAGGGCTCCTTCTCAGCAACCAGGGCTCCTACTGCTTTGGCTCCCAAGTAAGGACTGACCATTCTGGGGATTGCTCATCACATGTTAACAGAGCTGCTAGAATCTTTATGCGAGTACTTGATAGCATAATTAATTAAACCTAATGTTTTTCATGTTCCATTTCAGGTGCAAGATGTGACATCCAGTTGAACCAGTCCTCACACTTGTCTGCATCTCTTGGAGCAGAGTTGTCCCCATTGCAGGGCCAGTCAGGGCATTAGCGATGACTTACACTGGTACCAACAGAGAAGGGAAAGCTACTGATCTATTATGCAAATAATTTACAATCTAGGGTCTCAGTGGGAGTCAATTTGGAACAGAATGCACTTTCACCATCAGCAGCCTACAGTCTGAAGATGCTGCCACTTATTACTGTTAACAGGGTAGCAGTTATCCTCCACAGTGATATAAGCCATGACATATAACTCCCAGGGAAGCACAAGTAAGAGGCTAGGCTGCCCCAGATGCTCCTCCTGATGCCGCCACCTGCTGACAGTGCTTCTCAGATGCAAAAAGACTTTTAATTATTGGGAGAAAGATAGTGAAAGCATCTGCACATCCTGACTCTCTGTCCTCCTGCTCATCCCAAGCAGCACACACCCAACAATGCCTCTTCCTACTTGAAAAGAACACACATCTGTGTTTATGTATAGTCCATGTTGTGCTAAAACTTTGTAGTCACTCAATAAAGAAGCATCAATTCTAGGAAGTCAAAGCAGGCTTATGAAAGCAAGGCAATATAGCTTGGAAAAAAGATTTTGAAAAGCAAATTTGTAAAGAAAAAAATGTCATTTTTTTAAAACAATTTATGCTTGATACAGTATACTATATTTGAAGTACAATATGAAATTTTGGTATGTGCACACATTGTGTAATTATCTAAACAATGTAATTAACAAGTTAATTCATCAACTTAAACATTTTTCAATTTCTTGTTGACAAAGGATTTTTTTCTTCAGCAAAGAGATCTCTAGAATCCTTTTTTCTACTCATATATTTACAACAAATACAACATTTAGTATAGTTATCAGGAACTTAATTTCTTTTTGATGCAGAATATCAAATTCATTATTCTTTCTTTCTTATTTTTTTAATTGGTCACAGTGCTTGAACTCTGGACCTGGGTACTATTTCTCAGCTCTTCGTCTCAAGTGCTCACCTTGAGCACGCTACCACTTGAGCCGTAACACCACTTCAGGTTTTCTGGTGGTTTATTGAAGAGTCTCAAGGACTTCCTGCCCATGCTGACTTTGAGCCATGATCCTCAGATCTCAGTCTCCTGAGTAGCTAAGATTAAAGGCATAAGCCACCGGCATCCGGTTTATTTATTTCTTAATACCATCATCTCAGCACTTGAAAGTATAATAGAATAATGATTTCATAGTAATTTAAGGAAATACAAAGACAAAAGTAATAAATGTATACCCCTGTTTTAAAAAATACAGGCATATATTTTTCTATTGCTGATCTCATGATGTTAATCAGACTCAAATGATCAAGGCACCCACCCTGATTTCCAGTCTAGTTCAAATAAAATCACACATAGACAAATGAAAATATATGAATAAATAGGACAAAGTTAATACTTCTATGGAACCATATAGCAGGTTACATACGTATATACATATATACAGAGACATAGTGACTCATATTACAACAATATTTAGCAGTGTAATCATAAAACAGCCTTCTATGTACATACAGACATGCAGAGTCATAAATACACATTTCATAATTAAAAGTTATTTATATAATGGTAATAAGTATGAAAGAAAAAGGTAGGATAGAGAGGAAGGGGGTAGAAAGAAGAAAGGGGTGACATTGATAAAGATGTATAATGCTTATAAATGGACTTGTTTAAGGGTAATGTTTTGTACAAATATTACAGGTTATAAAAACTAGAAAATATAATTAAAAAGAGATTTGTATGAAGTTGTCGCATGTGTGCACTCATATCTCTGTCCATCTGTTACTTCATAGGTCATGGATAGATAGGACTGACTCTCTTAAAGCTTCTGATATCATATGAGATGAGAATGTCATCTCATTCACAATATCCACAAGAAAGCAGTGAGCAAGAGAGTGCTGAGAAATGCACTCCTTGAAGGAATTATAATGAAAGTTCACAGCTGATGACCCAGTGAGGTCATGGACCAACTCTCAGAATATATCCTGGAAGGCATTGCACAAGATCATGTTCACACGTTCCTCTTCCTGAAATTAACTTGTAACCATACCAAGAGTTTCAGTCAGTCTCAGTCCACATAAAATGAGATATTTGCAAGAAATATTATTTTTTATTGTGAAAATACTGTACAGAGGGATTACAATTACATGGGCAAGATAATGAGTACATTTCTTACCAAGCATTGTAGCCTCCTCCTTTATTTTACCCTTCCCATCCCATCCTCCTCTGGCGCCCCCAACCCTCCTCCCCCCTCCAAAGTTGTAAAGTTTGTTTTCGACATACGACTTGTATGTCTCTTTGTTGCAATGGGTCCACCTGTATCCCTATTTAAACGATTCGTTTTTTCCCTTCCCCCCCCCCACAAATTATACCAACCTCAAATACAGTGAAAGAAAGGGTTATACTGTGGGGGAGGGACATACAAACCAACAAAGAAATAATCTTATAAATGTATTAGAAACAATCACCTGAAAGAAAAAAAAAACCATTTGAATACATATCTGAGGGTTCATTTCCCTAACATCAACTTATCTGACCTTTTCTGCTTTACTCAGGTATATACTAGTTATTGCAAATAAGGGAAACCATGGGACCTAAGTTTCTTTGGGCCTGGCTTACTTCACTTAATATAATTTTTTCCAAGTCTTTCCATTTCCTAACAAATGGGGCAATGCCATTCTTTCTGATGGAGGCATAGAATTCCATTGTGTATATATACCACATTTTCTTGATCCATTCATCTTCTGAGGGGCAACTGGGTTGGTTCCAGATCTCAGCTATGGTAAATAATGCTGCAATAAACATAGTCGTGCTGGTAGCTTTAGTGTGACCTTTTTTGTGATCATTTGGGTAAATGCCCAAAAGTGAGATTGCTGGGTCATAGGGGAGCTCTATGTGGAGTCTTTTGAGGAACCTCCATATTGCTTTCCAAAGTGGTTGAACAAGTTTACATTCCCACCAACAAAACAGCAAGGTTCCCTTCTGTCCACATCCCCTCCAGCATCTGTTGTTATTAGAGTTCTTGATTAGAGCCATTCTAACTGGAGTGAGGTGAAATATTAAAGGACACCTCAAATAGAAATACTTCTTGACACATAGGAAATGATACAATTAAACATAAATGCAATATTAAATTTTCCTACTCAGAATTTTGTTTCAAAATCACTGTTGGCATGTTAAAATACAAGATAACTTAGCAATCTCAGATATACTGAGTGTGAATCTGCACTACAGGAAGTTGACAAATAATCACTGTAAGGTTTAGGAAGATGTGTTTGGATGAATATCAAAGGTATTTTACACCTCAGCCTATTTAAGATCATTTTAATTTAATTTAAACCAGATCTCTCTTGCTCTTTCTATTTCTCTCTCATTCTTTCTCTGTCTCTCACACAAATTAAAATACACAAACAGAAACACACACACACATACACAGAATCTGTACCAGTTCTTTACTAGGACAAAAGTTATTGGCATAAGCTCTGAACAAAGAACAGTTTTATTTAACTCATAGTTTTAGAGAAAAAATGACCTAGATTCTGTATCCTCATCTGTCTGTAATCAGGTGAGACCTGTCCTGTCTGTGGAACAATATGGTGTGTTAATAAATAGATAATTAGCTGCAGGTTGAAGTGGCCAAGTATATGGTTGTATTTATTTTCTAATAATCAACTATTACAGGAACAGATTCACTCCATGAGAGCAGATTTAACCGTCCTCAGTGCAAGATTTCCAATCACCTTATCACTTCCCACAAGGCACCTCTTCCAAAGGCCAAATTGGTGTATTGGAGCAGCAAAACAAACTTCCTTCTTCAGGTGCTCCTTCTTCAAAGGTGATGATCTGCCTCACAATAGGACCAGGATATTTGGATACACAAAGTAGAGACTAACTAATTTGATTGGGACTGCAGACATTTAAATATTTTATATTAATATAAGATCATAAGAACTATGCATATATGCATATATATATTTATATACTTAATTATCCTGAAATATACCAAGGGGATTCAACCCAACATATTCCTGTAAGAGTGCAATGCATCTTGAATGAATTCACCTTTCCATTATACTTCAGAGAGGATTTTTAAAAAGTCCTTTGATTAATTTGCTTTATAAATATAGTATGGGACAATGACACGATACTATTGCACTTAAAATTGAATATATATTCACACTTTCTACCCTTATCTTTTCATTTATAAAGACCATTTGGACACTACTTGTACGAGAAAATTTGTTCTCCTTGTCAATTCTTTACCCTAAGTCTTCCATAGAAAGTTCCTTTGGAAACAGATTTTATAACACTTGTGCCTAAGATCCCTGAACAGATCATCTAGTAAATATGGATATCTGATGCCTCTTCATCTACTTAACTCTCTGCTCTTTGTGGTCAATTCCATTGAGCATCTCTGAGGCTGCAAGGTACTGTGCCTTTTCCTAGACTAGCTGAGGAGTTTCATGGGAGCTAAGGCATGGTATTTATTTGTTTTCTAGAAATGATCCTAGACTTAAACCTGCATATCATTGGGTTCCTGATGCTGTTTTATGGGTGTGAGAGAATGTGTACCCTATAATCCCTGGAGAAAAATACTTTCACAGTGGGATCTTTTTTCTCACTACTGCAGCCATAATGTAATTCTATTGGTTATCACCAAACACAGAACACATCTGATGTCACTTTGCTCAGAAGAGCAGGACTTACCAACCCCTTGGCTGTTCTCACACTGTTGCACCCACCTGGCTATTTGCATACTGCTCCCTAAGGAGGACATTCCTTTCTAAGTCTGAGATAAAGGCTCAGCTCTGAACTTGTCTTGAACTGTCTAGACTCCTCATTCCTTAAAAATGAAGTTCTTCTCTCAGCTGCTGGGGCTGTTAATGCTCTGGATCTCTGGTAAGGGTAAAGGGAAGCGAGAAATGACAGTGGGTGGGAAGATGGGCTCTCAGAATCCAGTTGTGCCCCATCCATGTTTTATACATGCAGATCTTGTTATCCATGATGGGACAAGTGAGGTATAGGTCTTAGAGAGTGAGAAACGTTCCAGAAAGAGCTAGAACCTGTGCTTGGGTGAAGACTCTGCTAGGAAAGAAAATTGTCAGTGATTCCTAGAGACTTATTTATGCTTTATAATATCTGTTCTTTTAATTTGTATTGTTTTACATTTTGAATCAAAGCATAAACTATGAATAAAATGCAATATACATCA